AACTGGTGACCACCAAGACCCTCCGGAGGCGCTTCTTCTCCCTCCCCGGACGCCTCACTCGCTCGGCCCGCCGCCTGACCTTGCATCTGCCCCAGCATTGGCCCTGGGAAACCCAGTTCACTCACGCCCTGGCCCGATTGCGCGCCTTGCCACTCCCTTCCTGACCGCGGCGCCGGCAACCGGCCCACCACCCTCGCCCTCATTCACCAGCCAATCCAAGGTCTCTCCAACTCGGGCCGCACACCTGGGCCAGCGAGAGTTTCTTGCTGCCTTCGGTCACTCCATGCGCGGCTCTCTGCGCCGACAACCGGCCCACTACCGGCGCCATCCAGCCGAAATCCGCCCGGGCGATCGCGTCTCCATCCCTGTCATGTCCCTTTCCAGTCCCCCCACCTCTGGGTTCGGTGGATTCGGGCCAAGGCGTACATTGCGGGAAGTCTCGGAGGCGCAAAAGCGCAGGACCTCAAAGGAGGGGCGCAGATCATCTTTGCGACCGACCGTGGGGCGGTAAGAGATGAAGCAAGAGATCCTCCGCTACCTCTCGTCATGGCTGCTAGCGGTGGTGATTTTGGTAGGCTCGCTCGTGGTCGCGTCTCTATTCATCGGTGCCAATATAGCACTCAGCTATTTGGTAGAATTAGGCACTGGCCAAGATTTCATAGCCCGCCGGATCGTCGAAGTCCTGCTCGACATTACGCTGGTGAGTCTAGCATTCATCGTTACTGTGAACGGAGCCGTTGTCGTAATCGCCGAATCGTTTGCGTCCACAGCAAATTTTGTGCAAAGACTAAGGAGCGGCCCGTGATGTTCCGCGAGATTGTGGGTGCCCTACTGGGCAATAGCGCTGTGAAGTTGTTTTTGGTCCTCTACGGCTGGCTTGCCGGTTTGGGGCTGGGTTTAGCGGAACTCTTGGTTCGGGATCAATCCCCAGATTTTGCTACCGGGGCGGGTCTGGCTTTGTTTATCTCGGTATTCTTCGGTGGGTTACTCAGCTACTGCCTGTCAATCGGTATCCTGAAAGCTGCGCAAACCGCCCTTGAAAGTCTCATCACACCCGCTAAAAAACTGCTGAGGTCTCTCGGCGCAAGTTCAGAACTACGTTCCGTTCTGAGGAGCAAGAAAACTTTTCTTTGGTTCGTAGCGGTATGTATCTACGTCGCTCCTATTGCCTTGACGGCATTACTGTGTACAGCCATCATGTTTAGCATTGATTTACTGGTGGGAATCTATGGCGCGAAAGCTTATGCGCTTAGCTTGATCGTCGGGGGAGTTTTTACTGCTGTCTGCTACGGGTCTTTGATTTACACGATATGGATGCTGAGTATCAGAATGGGGTCATTAGAGAAACGCAGTGTACTGATCCAACATCCGACGGTGCCTGTCAAACCCCACATCGTGTATGTAAATCTGCAGCCAAATAGCCCCGTTGACCTAGCGTTGAGGAACGCTGAACGCTGGGTCAACAGGTTCGGAGGCGTAAAAGTACCCGTCGGCTGACGCCTACACAATCTTTTGGGAGCGGCTCGGTAAACATTGGTCAGCGCAAATATGGCTCCCCGGTAGACCCTAAGCCCCAATCCACCGAAGGGATGATTGTGGCGGTGTGCTGAAGGGATAAGAAAGTGCCCCGTTGCTTCTGGGATAATGGTTTGTGAAACACCAAACCGACCCAAAAGAAGGAGCACCAAATAGATGCTACCACGTAACGACCCCGACCGCATCCAGATCGCCTTCGACGACCACCGCCTGGTCAGCAATGCTGGGCTGATCCTTCCGTCCACGCTGGCACTGCATCTGGGCCTGCCCCAACTGGTTGATCGGCACCTGGACCTGGGCCGTGCCCCAGGCGGAGCCAACACGGGCGACCAGATCATGACGCTGGTGGCCTCCGCGCTGGCTGGGGGCGACTGCATTGACGATGCCGACGGGTTGCGTGCTGGCAGGACCGCGCGGGTGCTGGGCTGCGTGGTCAAGGCGCCATCCACCCTGGGCACGTTCCTGCGCAGCTTCCGTTGGGGCCACGCCCGCCAGCTGGATCGGGTGAGCCGGGAACTGCTGGCCCGGGCCTGGGCCGCTGGGGCGGGACCCCGATCTTTGAACAATCACGGACCGTTGACCATCGACCTGGACCCCACCATCTGCGAGACCTACGGTCCGGCCAAGGAGGGAGCCCGCCACCACGGCTACACCGGCCACCACGGCTACACCGGCCAGCGGGGCTATCACCCGCTGCTGGCCGTCGCCGCCGGCACCGGCGATGTGCTGATGGCCCGGCTGCGTGAGGGTCGCGCCAACACCGCTCGGGGCGCCGCCCACTTCCTGCGTGAGACGATGGGACGGGTACGCTACGCCGGAGCCACCGGACTACTCACGGTGCGGGCCGATAGCGGCTTCTATAACCACGCCATGGTGTCCACCTGCCGCCAGCTGGATGCCCGCTTCTCCATCACCATCCGCCAACACCAGAGCCGGCGCAACCAGATCGAGGCCATACCCGAGGGGGACTGGACGCCCCTACCCTACTGGATGGACGGTGCTGCCGACGTGGCCGAGACTACCTACATCCCCTTCGAGAGTGCGCCCGACGCCGCGCCGGTGCGGCGCATCGTCCGCAGAGTGCAGCCCACGCCCGGTTCTCAACTGGCCCTCTTGGTCGACTACAGCTATCACGGCTTCATCACCGACCGGGACGGAGGCACTCTGGAACTGGAGGCACTCTGGAACTGGAGGCCGATCATCGCCGCCACGCCGAGATCGAGAACGCCATCCGCGACCTCAAGTACGGCGTGGGACTGAACCATCTCCCCTCAGGGCGTTTCGCCGCCAAGTCCCCTTGCAATCTACGGCCTGGCTGGCGGTCCAGGTGATGGCCCACAACCTGGCCCACTGGGCTGCGCGCATCGGTCTGGGCGAGCAACTGGTGACCACCAAGACCCTCCGACGGCGGTTCTTCTCCATCGCCGGACGGCTCACCCGCTCGGCGCGCCGCCTCACTTTACATCTGCCGCAACGTTGGCCCTGGGAAACCCAGTTCACTCACGCCTGGGCCCGAGTGCGCGCCGTTCCCCTACCAGCCTGACGACGCGCCGTCGGCGCCCAACCCGTCCGCCGGACAACCCATGGGCTGTCCCGCCGACCCATGCCAGCCCAGCCCGCCAGCGCCACTTCCGGCATGCCGCCTGGCCGTTTTCGCCTGCCGCCGCCACTGCGGGCCAGTACCTTGCCACTGGCGTGGCCGCCACCGACCGCCCTGAACCACATCTATTGGCGATCGGGCCGGGCGCGTTCGCCTTTCTTACCCATCATCCCTCACGTCAACGCTAGAACCGCATCCCTTCGGTGGATTCGGGATAATACGCTCGGGGACGGTCGATGGACATTCTGGCATAGTTGGGATGCGATGATGCAAGCGTGCAGCTTGGCTATCATCCTGGCTAGCGTGGCCGATATTCTGCTGTTAGAAGGAGGCGTCAAATTGGCACTGTACGTTATTGATCAGCGCAAGAAAGACCGTGAGAGAGTCCGGCAGGAAGGTCGGCAGGAAGCCATCGTAAATCTGCTGCGTTCGGCGTCAACGGATGGTGAGCGTGATTTCATTCGGAGGTACGCCACCGCAGAAGGTATCGAGTTGCCGGTGGATGTTGAGAGATAACCGCTCAGCATGATTACCAAGGGTAGGCCCGGTTCCAGGTGAACCGGGCCTACCCTTGGTAACTGGCCGCTATTCGCAGTCCGGCACTTTACGCTGGTCGGATTGGCTTGCCGCTGGTGTCCGCAGGCATGTAATTGCCGTAAAATAGGCGCCAATTCAGGCTGAATATTGAGCCGGCCAGAGCAGGTTGGGGTTATGCCACACAATTTCTGGATGATCAATTGCAACGAGGCGAACTATAATGTCACGCGACGAATGGGGTTCACTGGCCAGGGTCTGAAAGCGGAATATCGACGCAAGGTCCAGCGGGTAGAACCGGGCGACCGGGTCATCTATTACGTGACGGGGTCCCGCGTTTTCACGGCGACGGCCACCGTTACCAAGGGGTACGAAGAGGTTGATTCCAGCCCGTGGCTCAAAGAAGGCAAGGCTGCATGGCCGTACCGCATCGGGATCAAGCCGGACGTCATACTGGAAGGCGACCAATACATCGACGCGGGCCTGATCGCTTACCGCCTGGAATACGTGCGGAAGTGGGCTCCCGAAGACTGGTACATGGCATTTCAGGGCAACCTGCACCTGCTGTCCAAGAGCGACTTTTTCCTGCTGGAAGGTGAGATGCTGAAGCTTCGGGACGGTAGGGAGAAGGCGCTGCTACAGATCGATGCCGCGTTGGCCGCGGACGAGGAAAGAGTCAACGCTCAGCGGGAGCGGCGGCGGCGAAACACGAACCGTGGCAACGCTCGACCGCAGCAGCCTCAGAGTGCGGTTGCCCCCGATGTTCCGCCCGTCCCGGTGACCGAGCCTCAGCCGACCGTGGATGCGGAGACGGCGGCGGATCCGGAAACGCCCGATGAACCGGGCAGCGCCAATGGACGCGCGCGAAGGAATCCGCGTAGCCGTGGGAACAACCGGAGGTCGGCTCCGAGGCAGGCGCCGCGTTACGATAGCGAATAGGCGACGTCGCCAGGGCGCAGGGCTTGCCTGATTTCTGAGAGCACTTCGGGGTCCGATTCGTCAGGCAGGGCGTCGTCCAGGGAAGTCCGGGCGGCTTCGCCTCCGATGTGGCCCAGGGCCCACGCGGCGTGTTGTCGGACCAGTGGGGGAGCGGACCGGAGAGCGCGGGTCAAAGCTGGGACGGCGGCAGCATCGCCGGAATTGCCGAGGGCAACGCAGGCGTTGCGCTGCATGCCCACCCGCTTGGCCCGCATGATGGGCGAACCCGCGAAGCGCTCCCGGAACTGGTCATCGCTCATGCCGAGGAGCTCGACCAGGTCGACGGATGTAAGGTCGGTGCGCCCGAAGTTGGCGTCCTGGGTGGATTTCGCCTTGCGGTTGACCGGGCACACTTCCTGGCAGATGTCGCACCCGAAGACCCAGTTGCCCATTGACGCGCGGAGTTCGGTGGGTATGGCGCCCCGGTGCTCGATGGTCAGGTAGCTGATGCAGCGGCGATTGTCGACGACGTAGGGCGCTACGATGGCGTCGGTGGGGCAGGCCGGCATACAGCGGGAGCACTGGCCGCAGCTCTTGGCGAGAGGCCGGTCGGGTTCCAACGCGAGGTCGGTGACTATCTGCCCCAGGAGAAGCCACGAGCCGTAGGTGGGATTGAGGATGTTGCCGTTCTTGCCAAACCAGCCGAGGCCGGCGCGGGCGGCGGCGGCGCGGTCCAGCATCGGTCCGTCGTCCACGTGCCAGCGCGCGCCGAATCGGTCGCCCAACCGCTCGGTCAGGTCCAGCACCATGCGACGCATGCGCCGTTTCATGACGCGATGGTAGTCGCGGCCGCGGGCGTACCGTGCGATGACACCCTGGTCATCCGGCGTGGGAGAGTCTGCGGGCGGGCAGTAGTTCCATCCCAGGGAGATGATGGACTTGGCGCCGGGCAGCAGGGTTTCCGGGTCCGTGCCGCGCTGAACGCGCTGGGCGTTGAACCAGGGCAGGCCGTCCATGAGTCCGGCGTCGATGCGGCCCAGCGCCTCTTCACGTTCGGCGGCAAACACCTCGGCGGATGCGACGGCGACCAGGTCGAAACCCGCGTCGGAGGCGGCCTGGTCGACCCACTGGCGCAGTTGCGCGGGGTCCGCGGCGATGTCGCGGGTGGCGCTCACAGGTTCTCGCCCTGGTAATGCCCGTCGTATCCCTGGGCATCCGGTGCGCTCAGGGGGAAGAAAACCAGTTGGGCAATACGCGCATCACGCTGGATGCGGAAGCCGTCGGCATGATGGACAACGAGCAGGGCCTGGGAGCGTCCGCTGTAGCCGGCGTCCCACACGGCGGTGTGCAGGCTCACGCCCATGCGCAGCAGGCTGGAACGGGGACGCCCCAGGGCCATGAGCCAGCGGGGCAGGTTTACCACCTCGTTGAAGGTCGCCAGGTATTGGCCGGGCGGAATCAGGAGCCAGCCATCGTTGCCGAAGTCCAGCTCAGTAGAATCAGGCAGCACCCGGTCGCCATTGTCAACGCCGATGGCGCCGGGGCCGACCCTCGCCGGATACGAGGCAACCGACCGCACGGTCAGATCAAAGCCGTTGGCCTGGAGTTGGCCGCGAAGATCCGGACAGTTCTCCAGCAGTGCTGGACTGCCCGCCAGCAACGCCGCGATGGCGTCCCGATTGAGTACGCCCCGTAGGGTTGTGTCGTCGGCAGTCATGGCACAGAAAATACTTCGCCCGCCGGCGTCGCTGGTAATGACGCTCGGCGGGCGGATTTGCGTGGCCGATTGGGACTAGTCGTGCATGAAGTCCTGGATGTCGGCGGGCAGCGGCTCGTACTTCGGTATCTCGGTGATGACCGCCTGGGTGGTCAGGAGCATGCCCGCGACGGAGCCAGCGTTCTGAAGGGCCGAGCGAGCGACCTTGGCGGGGTCAATGATGCCCCGGTCGACCATCTGTGTGTAGTCGCCGCGGTCGGCGTCGAAGCCGAAGTCGTCTTCACCGTTGCGCACGTTCTCGACAATGATTGCGCCCTTGTAGCCCGCGTTTTCGGCGATGGTGTTCAGCGGGGCTTCCAGGGCCTCCCTCACCAGCCGGATGCCGACGGCTATGTCGCCCGATGCGGTGTCCAGGATGCCGTCGAGGGCGGCCTGGGCGCGCAACAGGGTGACCCCGCCGCCGGGGATGACGCCTTCTTCGACGGCGGCGCGGGTGGCGGCCAACGCGTCCTCGGTCCGGCTCTTGCGCTCGTTCAACTCGGGCTCGGTGGCCGCCCCGACCTTGATGACGGCAACGCCGCCGGCGAGGCTGGCCAGGCGTTCCTGGAGCTTCTCGCGGTCGTAGTCCGAGGTGGTTTCCTCAATCTGTACGCGAAGTTCGGAGACACGGCCGGCGATGTCATCCTCGTGGCCGCGACCCTCGACGATGGTGGTCTCGTCCTTGGTCGCCACGACGCGCCGGGCCGAACCCAGCTGTTCCAGAGAAACCGCGTCGAGGCGCATCCCGGTATCGGTGGTGACGACGGTGCCGCCGGTCATGATCGCCAGATCCTCGAGCAAAGCCTTGCGGCGCTCGCCGAAGCCCGGAGCCTTGATCGCCAGGCTGCTGATGGTGCCGCGCAGCTTGTTGACCACCAGGGTCGCGAGGGCTTCGCCTTCCACATCCTCGGCGATGATGACCAAGGGGCGACGCCCGCCCTGGGCGACGGCCTCGAGGGCGGGTACCACGTCGGTGGCTGAAGACAGCTTCTGGTCGGTGAGCAGGAACAGAGGCTCGTCGATGGAGCACTCCATGCGGTCGGTGTCGGTTACGAAGTGCGGCGACAGGTAACCACGATCCAGGCGCATTCCCTCGACGACGTCGAGCTCGTCGTCCAGGCTGCGGCTCTCCTCCACGGTAATGATCCCTTCGCGTCCGACCTTGTCCATGGCGTCGGCGATCAACTCGGCGATGGCCTCTTCGTGGGCGGACAGCGCGGCGACGCGCGCGACCTGCTCGCGGCTCTCGACGGCGGCCGCCTGGTCGCTGATCTGGTTGCATACGGCGGACACGGCGCGGTCGATACCGGATTTCAGGGCCAAAGGATTGGCGCCGGCGGCGACGTTCTTGAAGCCGCCCTGGATGATGGAACGGGCGAGCACGATGGAAGTGGTGGTGCCGTCACCGACAACGTCGTTGGTCTTGGAGGCTGCTTCCTTCACCACCTGGGCGCCCATATTTTCATAGGGGTTGGGCAGTTCGATTTCCTTGGCGATAGTGACGCCGTCGCTGCACACCACGGGCAGGGTCCAAACGCGCCCCAGGATAACGTTGCGGCCGCTGGGGCCCAGGGTCAGGGCGACCGCTCGCCCGAGCTGGTTAACGCCGTTCATCAGGCTTCGTCGAGCGTTGTCATCGAAAATCAACTGCTTTTCGGGCATGGCTGGGATCCTCCGTTTATGAGGGTACTTTGGTTGCAAACGTGAATATTGATACTGAAAGACGAATCACGCGCCCGTTTCCGGGTGCGGCTTTCAGCACAACAATTTTCGGGCAACATGGCCGATATTGTCAACCTGGACCGATTGCGACCCGGAGTCGGTTCCGTATGGCACTGCGATGGTGCGAATCGTGGGCCAACGGTGCGAACGGAACGCTCGCTGATTGGGGACATTGGACGCGGCGGAAGGCGCCGCGCCGATGTCTGCCGTGCACGGATTCCATTTGTCGGCTGCGGTCGCCGGCGGGTAGTCGCGCAAATTCGGGCAAAAGCGAGGGATGGTGCGATACGCGAAAAGTTGAAGGCAAGGGGATCAGCGCCAGAGACAATCGGTCAGCCATCGGATCGGGTCCGGCAATCAGGATCATCCGGTTCTCAGTCAGGTTCATTCCCAGCGCCCCGATTGTGCGAAGTGGGTACGCGTGTGCAGTCGCGACCGGATGACAAACGGGGAAGGGGTTTGGTAACATCGTAACCCCGAAAACCGGATCCTAGGAGTAAGACTTTGCCGGCTCACAAAGCCCACCGCCAATCCCTGAAACGCAACACGCGCAATATGAGCGCGCGGCGCGCCACCCGCACCGCCGTCGGCCGCGCCCGACGTGCCGTGGCGACCGCTGACCCCGATTCCGAAGAAGCGGTGCGCAGTGCCATGAGCATGCTCGACGTGGCAGTCCGCAAAGGCATACTGCACAAGAACAACGCTTCCCGTCGGAAGGGTCGCTTGGCCGCAGCGCTCAATCGCTCCCGCGCCGGCTAGTTCCCCGCCTCTTTCGCGGAAAACGCTCTCCGGAAGCGGTTAGCGTACCTTCCGGATGTATCGATCCGGCGGACTGGTCTGTCAGCCGGACAGCGATTGTCCGTATCGAGCCCGGTACGAGAAGGGCCGTAGACGGCGCTGGGTTCCTACGGTTCGTCGGCGGGCATTTTGATGAACGGCGCTTGTTGACAACACGACGAGAATTTATTAGCATATCGGTGCCGAACATTAGTTTGCGATGCGGAGAATACACATGGTGTGGAGGTAGCCCGTATGCCACCGAAAAAGAACCTGAGGCCACGACAGCAGCAAATTCTGGATTTCATCGAGCACTTTCTGGTCGAAAACGGTATCCCGCCGACGGTGCGGGACATTCAGCGCGGCTGCAGCATCAGCAGCACGTCGGTGGTCGATTACAATCTGCGGCTGATGGAGCGGGATGGATACCTGAAGCGACGCTCCGAAGTCGCACGCGGGATCGAACTGCTGGACGAAACGGGCCTGCCAATCGCCAATGGAGCCGCCCGGGTGCAGATAGTGGGCAGCATCGCTGCCGGTCAGCCGATACCGGCATTCTCCTCGGAAGGGGTCGGTTCGGCGGCGGAATTCGACATCGTTGAGGTGCGCCCGGACCTCAAAAAGCGGCACGGAACCCTCTACGCGCTGTCGGTCAAAGGCACGTCGATGATCGACGCACTGATCGACGACGGCGACGTGGTGGTGATCAAGCCCACCAACACGGCGCGCAACGGCGAGATGGTGGTCGCCTGGCTGAAAGAAGAGGAAGAGGCGACCCTCAAGAAGTTTTTCCGTGAGGGTGACCAGGTCCGCTTGCAACCGGCCAACAGCACCATGGACCCGATCTACGTGGCGGCGACCAACGTCGAGGTAAAGGGCCGGGTGGTGGAAGTCCTCCGGCAGTTCTAGGCTGCGAATGGCCTTCAGTTTCGGCTGTTGGCCAACGCTCCGTAGGTGGCTACCAGGAAGGGAACACAGTAGGTCAACGGGATCTTCCAGGCCAGCGCGCCGGCCACTTGGCCTGCTAGGATGGCGTCACCTTGATTCAGCGCCGTGAGGGCCGTGCCCACCACGGCGCTGGCGATTAACGACCGACGCAGCATCGGCCGGTGACGCAAAGCACAGCGGAGGCATTTGGTGACCCCGGTGGCGCCGCCACGGGGCCGGAACGTGAAGCTGGAGCTCTGGCCCGTGGGTCGTCCGCACCGCTGACAGGGGTTGTCTGTGCCGGCCATCGGGTGACTCGGGTTTAGTCCTGCGCAACCTTCGGAGCGTACGGCGATGGTTCGGGGAGGTCAAACACCCGGGTCGGAGCGAGCAGGCCGTCGGTTCTCGGTTGTGCCAGTGCGAGGAACACGCCCTCCGGGTCGTAGACGCGCCACGGTTGCGGAGACGCGGGATCAATATTCGCGGGATCAATGTGATCGATGGCGGTGGTGACAGTTTGGCCATGTCGCATCGCCCGAGCGCCCTCACAGTCGACCCGAATGGCCGGAAGTTGCTGCAGTGCCCAGTCAATGGGACGCAGGTAGTTGATCCAACCCCCAGAGGCTTCGGCCTCCTCCAGGGCGTCGGGGGTTATCGCAGTGGAGCAATCGAACCGGCCGCAAGATAATCGGATCAACTCGGTCACGTATCCTCCGCAGCCGAGAGCTTGACCGAGGTCGTGAGCGATGGAACGGAGATACGTGCCCTTGCCGCACTCGACTGTGAGCGTGACCAGAGGGAGGTCGATCTCGTCGATGGAAATCGAGCGCACAGACACGCGGCGGGGCGAACGTTCAATATGGCGGCCGGCGCGAGCGAGATCGTAGAGGCGTTGGCCGTCAACCTTGATCGCGCTGTACATGGGAGGCAGTTGGTCGATGTCGCCTACGAATGTGTGGAGGGCCGCGGCGATGTCCTGCCGGCTCAGCCACGAAGGATCTGAGATGTCCTCGATGTCGCCTTCGGCGTCGTAGGTGTTGCTCACGGCGCCCAGTCGGACCGTCACGCGGTAGCGCTTCCATCCCGAGACGACCAATTCCATGAGGCGGGTGGCCTGTCCGAAAAGGATGGGAAGGACGCCTTCTGCCAGCGGGTCCAGGGTTCCGGCGTGGCCCACCTTCCGGCGCTGCGCGGTAATCCGCTTGACCCGCCGGACGGCGTCCATCGAGGTGATCCCGACGGGCTTATGGAGGTTGAGGAACCCGTTGATCGCCGGTCGCCCAGGTTCGCCAGCAGGCATGGGGTCAGGCACGCTCCGCCGGCGCCTGGGCGTCGTCGCCGGTTTCGTTCGGAACCTCCAGGTCTTCGATGATTTTCATCAGGCGGTCTGCGTCCATCATGGCGTCGTCCAACTGGAACGTAAGGAACGGCACGTGGCGCAACGAGACGCGGCCGCGCAACTCCCGTCGCAGATAGGACGCGGAGGACTGGATTCCGGCCAGGGTTTCTTTGCGGATGGCCGCCGACCCCATCACGCTGATGTAAACCCGGGCGCTCCGTAGGTCGGACGCCGTGCGCACCTGCGTGATGGTGATGAGGCCCCTGAGACGCGGGTCATTGACCTGCGAAGCAAGCAGGGCGGCGATTTCCTCACGGAGCACGCCGTTCACCCGCTCCATTCGTCTGTGGTCAGCCATGGGTGAACCTCAAAGCGTCGCTGCCGAGCTAATTGGCTCGCTCCATGCGGTACGCCACGATCATATCGCCTTCCTCAATGTCGTTGAAGCCGTCGAGAACGATACCGCACTCCGTACCTGCGGTGGCCTGGTTCACCTCGTCGCGGAAGTGGCGGAGGCTGCCGATCTGGGTTTCGGTAACGATGTTGTCGTTGCGCATGATGCGGATGTTGCCCTGCCTGACAATGCGGCCGTCCATGACGCGACACCCGGCGATGCGGACGCCGCGTCGGCCGGCGAAGACCTCGCGGATTTCGGCGCGCCCGACGACCACCTCGGCGTACTCGGGTTCCAACAATCCCTTTAGCGCACCTTCCACGTCTTCGAGCAGGCGGTAGATGATCCGGTATTCGCGGACCTCGACACCGAGGCGCTCAGCGGTGCGCTCGGCTCCGACCTCGAAACCAACGTTGAAGGCCAACACGATGCCGCCTGAAGCGGAGGCCAACTGCACGTCGGATTCACTGACCAATCCGGAGGCTGAGTGAATCACCCGGGCTTTGACGTCTCCTTCGGACAATTGTTCAATGGAGTGGACCGCGGCTTCGACGCTGCCCTGGACGTCGGCTTTGAGAACCAACACCAATTCCTTGACGTCGCCGGCGTCTATCTGCTTCACGACGCTGTCCAGGGTCAGCACTGTTTCCATGTTGCCGGTGCTGGAACGCTGGTCGCGGCGGCCAGCCATCTGGCGGGCGGCGCGTTCGCCGGTAACCACCGTCAGGATGTCACCGGCTTCAGGTACCGCGTTGAGGCCGATCACCACCCCCGGCGAACCCGGGGTGATGCAGTCGATGGTCTCCCATGCTCGTTGGCGATAGCGCGGACGCGTCCCCAGGCTGTGCCGGCGACGATATAGTTGCCGACACGCAGGGTTCCGGCCTGGATCAGGACGGTGGCGGTGGGTCCGCGCCGGCGGTCCAGCGTGGCCTCGACAACGACGCCGGCGGCTGGCCGGTCGGGATTGGCCTTGAGCTCGAGGACCTCGGACAGCACCGACAGGTTTTCGAGTAGTTCGGCGACGCCAGCGCCGGTTTGGGCGGAGACGGGCACGGCGATTACGTCGCCTCCCCATTCCTCCACCAGCAGGTTGCGTTCGCTGAGCTGGCGTTTGACCACGTCGGGTTGGGCAGTCGGGAGGTCCATCTTGTTGATGGCGATGACGATGGGAACGTCTGCGGCGCGCGCGTGGTCGATTGCCTCGTCGGTCTGCGGCATGATGCCGTCGTCAGCGGCAACCACCAGCACGGCGATGTCGGTTACCCGCGCTCCACGGGAGCGAATTGCGGTGAACGCCGCATGCCCCGGGGTATCGAGGAAGGTGATGGGCCGCTCGTCCTGGACCACCTGGTAAGCGCCGATGTGCTGCGTGATGCCGCCCGCTTCCTTGTCGACCACCGTGGTATTCCGGATGTAGTCGAGGAGGCTGGTCTTGCCGTGGTCAACGTGACCCAGGATGGTGATGACCGGAGGGCGGGGCTTGAGCACTTCGTCCACTTCCTGCGAAGCGGCGTTGATGGAGCCCGTTTCCGCCTTTGCTTCCGCCAGCCTGGTGCGGACTCCGTAAGCGGCCGCCGCCACGGTGGCCACCTGGTGGTCAACGACCTGGTTGACGTTGACCATGATCCCGTGGCGCATCAGTTGCTTGATGACGTCGATGGGTGATTGGTCCAGGAGCTCGGCCAGGTCCTTTACGGTAAGCGAGTCCGGCAGGACCAGCGCGCGGGGTGTTCCGCGGCGTGGCTCGCTGCGACGGGCGCGTCGGGCTCCGGAGCGTTGGTCGGTTGACGTAGTCATGGGTAGCATCTCCTCCAGCGGAATGTCAGTCCACGCGGGGTCATTCCCCGTTCAGGATCAGTCTCCCGCTTCCCGAACCGCACCATTTGCGGTCCCGGACCCGGCGTGATAGACGCCGGTCGCGACAGTTTCAATGAAATAACGTTTCAGAGTGTCCAAGTCGGTGTTGGACACCGGGTTGCGCAGCCCGCGTTCGAGGGAACGGCGGACGAGACCCTTCTCCCAGCACGTTGCCTGGTGACACAGATAGACGCCCCTGCCGTTGGCGCGTCCGGTGGTATCGGGCCGCACTTCTCCCTCAGGCGTGCGGACGAGCCTGATCAAATCGCCTTTCGGCTTCTTTTGGCCGCAGGCGATACAGCTGCGCTCAGGGATGTGACGCTGTTTTGGAATTACGGTTACCTGGATCAAGTAGGTCGTGCGGCAGGAAGAGATCGGATGAGTGCCAAGGGCTATCTACGGCGCGGTCCGGGACCGCGGGCGCCCGGTACATTACCACCGCGACGGGCTCCGCCGCCACGCCGACGCCGACGGTCGCCTCCCCTGAAGTCGCCAACAATATCTTCCGCGAACCTGATCTTGCCGGCGTCCGGCGCGAGGTTAGGAAGCCCGGCTAGGAGATCGGACATTTCAGGCTCCGGTTCTTCTTCCTCTTCTTCCTCGAATTCTTCCTCGTCCTCGTCAACCACGTCGTCTATGGTCAAGCTTTCCAGAGCGTCAACGCTGAGGCCGACCGCCTCATCCGCATCCGGAGTCGCGGCTGCTTCTTCTTGAGCGATCAGTGCATCCAACAACGCGTCCTCGTCGATTTCGGGCTCGGCAACTTCGGCCACCTCACCAAGGGGTTCAACAACCATTGCCTGCGGCTGGGCGGGGATGGGATCTGCCGCGGGCTGCGGCTCGGATTCAGGCTGGACGGCCACCTCTTCGGGAACGAGGCTTTCGATCTCGGCCTGGATGGCCGCTGAAACGGGCGGAATGTCAGCCAACGCCTCTGCGATCACCTCGGCGACGGGAGCCAACTCGACCGGTTCCGTTTCCGGAGTCGCCGGTGCGGACGCCTCGGCGGCGGCAGCGGCGATACGAGCGGCTTCATCGGCTTCGGCTTGGGCGGCGGCGGTGCGGGCGGCCTCCGCAGCGCGGGCGGACCGCAGGGTTTCCCATTGCTCGATGTTCTTGATGTCCAGCCGCCACCCCGACAGCCGCGCGGCCAAACGGGCGTTTTGGCCGTCTCGACCAATGGCCAACGACATCTGGCTCTCGGGTACCACCACGTAGGCGGTGTTCTCGTCGGCGTCAAGTTCGACGCCTCCAACGTCCGCGGGACTGAGGGCGCGGCCGATCAGTACGCGGGGGTTGGGGTCCCACTCGATCACGTCAATCTTTTCGCCCTGCAACTCGTTGACCACGCTCTGAATGCGATTGCCCCGCAGGCCAATGCAGGAACCCACAGGATCCACCCCGTCCTGATGGGAGGACACGGCGACCTTGCTGCGAATACCAGGGTCGCGGGCAATGGCGCGGATTTCGACGGTGCCGTTGCCGATCTCGGGGACTTCCGATTCCATCAGCCGGCGGAGCAGGTCGCGATGGGCGCGGCTGACCACAACCTCCGGGCCCCGGGTGGTTTGCTGTACCTCGACGAGGAGGACCTTCAATGACTGGTTTTTGCGGTACCGTTCACTGCCCACCTGGTTGTCCGGACGCATTACGCCCCGGGCGCGGTTCGCGCTCTGGGCCTGATGCGGGTTGAGGTTGACGAATACGGTGGGGCCCTTCTCGATGCTCTCCACGCTGCCACTGATGATCTCACCCTGGTAGGCGGAGTATTCTTCAAATATCTTTTCGCGCTCGGCCTCACGCAGGCCCTGCATGAGCACCTGGCGAGCGGTTTGAGCGGAGATGCGGCTGGTGTCGTAGGCGACTTCCTCGTCCTCGGAAATCTCGCTGCCGATCTCGGCCCAAGGCTGGATCCGCAATGCGTCGGAGAGGGCGATCTGGGTCTCCGGGTCCTCGATTTCTTCGACGACGCTCCTAAGGGGGAAAATGCTGATGTCTCCCGTGTTCGGATTAAGCTTGACGGTCAGGTTTTGGGCGCCAGCCACCCGGTCGCGGCGAAATGCGGTGGCCAGCGCGACCTCCACCTTGTCCAAGACCAGCTCTTTGCGCAGGCCCCGTTCGGCGGACAGTTGATTCAACGCCATCATGAAATCGCTTTTCATGGTTATCCTCCGCCGGACGCGCCGCCGACAGTGATCTAATGTGCATCGTGTTCACAGCAATAAAGCGGGTATCAGCCCCGCTTTGCAATCCCGTGAACCGCTCGCTGCAAGGATGATGAGGGTTGCTCACTTTGCCCGGCAGCGGGGCGTGATGTGGCGGCATTATAGCATCGGCAATGGGTCGGGGCAAGGGCGAGAATACGGGATGAACCAGCGGGAAATACCGTGCTGTCCCGTCGCTACCACCAGATTTTCCCCTGGGCCTCCTGGGCGAGGGTTTCGTAATCCCGGGTCCACAGCTGGCTGCTGAGGTACTTCCAACCGCCGTCGGCCAGCAGGCACACGACGTTGCCGCTTTCCATGCGTTCGGCGTGTTTCAGAGCGCCGGCGATGACGGACCCGGAGGAGATGCCGGCGAAGATTCCTTCCTTGTTCATCAACTCCTTGGTCATGTAGAAGGAGTCGAAGCTGTTGACCAGCAGCCGATTATCCAGCAGGTTGATGTCAAGAATGGGCGGAATGAAGCCGTCTTCAAGGCGGCGCAGGCCGGAGATGAAGTCGTCCGTTTCCGGGGCGACGGCGATGATCTTGATGTCGGCGCGGTGCTCCTTCAGCCGGCGGGCATTGCCCATCAGCGTGCCACCGGTTCCAAGGCCGGCGACGAACACGTCCACTTCAGGTAGCGCCTCGATGATCTCCTGGCCGGTGCCCTCGTAGTGCGCGTCCGGGTTGCCGTCGTTGCCGTATTGGTAGAGCATCAGGTAGTCGTGGGGGTTTTGCCCCACCATTTCCTGGGCCATGACGACGCTGCCGTTCGTTCCCAACGTACCGTCGGAGTAGACGATCTCCGCGCCGTAGGCTTCCAGCAATTGGGTGCGTTCCACGGAGACGTTTTCCGGCATCACCACCTTGACCTTGTATCCCTTGAGGCGACCGATCATCGCGAGGGAAATGCCGGTGTTGCCCGACGTGGGCTCCAGGATGGTACGGCTGGCTGAGATCTCACCGTCGGCTTCCGCCCGTTCGATCATCTTGAGTCCGATGCGATCCTTGACGCTGCCCGTGGGATTTTGCCCCTCAAGCTTGGCGTAGATGTGAACCTCGGGATTTGGGCTGAGGTTTTGCAGCTCTACCAGGGGGGTATTGCCGATAGTGGCAATGAGTCCTTTGTACGTGGAGAGCGTCATTGGTGCCGGGCTCCGGGTCGCCTCTGGATTGCCAAAACGGATGATTACAACGCGCCGGCGCCGATGGCCACGGGTTCGGGCACTTCGGCCACGCCGCAGAACACTTCGTAGTCGATGAGTTCGGTGACGGTGGGGTTGTCGCCGCAGAGCGGACAACCGGGGTTGCGGCGCAGCCGCACTTCCCGGAACTGCATGCTCAGTGCGTCAATGACCAGCAGGCGGGAGGAAAGGCTTTCGCCGATGCCGAGGATGTGCTTGAGAGCCTCGGTAGCCTGGATAGACCCGACCAACCCGGTGAGGGCGCCCAGCACGCCGGCCTCGGCGCAGTTGGGTACCATGCCCGGAGGCGGCGGAGCCGGGAACAGGCAGCGGTAGCAGCCCTGGCCGGGCAGGAAAACGGTGGCCTGTCCGTCGAAGATCAGGATGCTGCCGTCAATGAGAGGCTTGTTCAACAGGTAACAGGCATCGTTCACCAGGTAACGGGTGGCGAAGTTGTCGGCCCCGTTGATGACGATGTCGTACTGGCTGATGATGTCGAAGGCGTTTTCCGAAGTGAGCCACGTCTCGTGGAGGACCACGTCGACTTCAGGGTTGTAGGACAGGATGTTGTCCTTGGCCGACTGTACCTTGGACCGGCCCACGTCGGGCGTGTGGTGCAGGATCTGCCGCTGTAGGTTGGACAACTCGACCACGTCGAAATCGACGATACCGATCTTGCCAACGCCGGCCAGGGACAGATACACCGCGGACGGGGAACCCAAGCCGCCGGCCCCGATTATCAGCGCGCTGGATTCCATCATCTTGCGTTGTCCGGCGCTACCGACGTCTTGCATGATGATGTGGCGGCTGTAGCGTTTGACCTGATCTGGGGTCAAGCGTAGGGGCTGGACCATTTTGTGTTCCTCCCGTTGAGTGTGCGATCTGTTCGAGTGTGCGATCCGATCGGCGTTTCGATCCAATCGAGGATTCGATCCGACTAAGGGTTCGATCCGGTTGCGCTTCGATCCGATTCAGGGTTCGATAGATTCAACTAAAAACCTGCGCCCCGCACCGTCTGGCGGCGAATTCGGCGGACGCAGGCTCGAGGTGGATGATACCCGGCCAGCCCCCTATTTGCGGGGACAGGCGCAGGCAACCGGCGCAATTTGTGCGGGTGACATCTTGGGCGGAAGTGTATTGTCGGGCCGGGAAAGTTGTCAAGCGAGGCGGCGGCCGGTCACACCGAAACCGCAGGGACCGGCTCCGAAACCTCGTGGCCGCTATCACCTTCGGCAATGAGTACGCTCTGCCGATCCGCCAAGTGCGCCAGCGTGGTGGCCTGTAGTACCTGCTGGATGGAATCCTCGACGGTCTGCCAGATTTCCTTCTGGGCGCACGAATCGACGAACATGCAGTCAGTGGGCAGGGTCAGGCAGTCCAGGGGAGACGCGTTGCCGTCCAGCTCCTGCATGATGTCGTACAGGTTGACATCCTGGGGGTCCCTCGCCAAAAGATGACCGCCCTGGGGCCCGCGCCGGCTATGAACGAAGCCACTCTTGTTGAGGGTGGACATCAGCCGTTCGAGATACGGTTCGGGTATGCCCTGGCGATATGCGATGGCAGCGGTCTGAACCGGCCCATCGCCGTAGCGCATGGCCAGTTCAACCAGCGCGCGCACGCCGTAGTCCACTTTCATCGGGACGCGCAAAACGACACCTCCATCGTGCGGTGATTATACCCAAAGGCGGCGGCAAATGCCAACCGCGTCAGGTATTCGCCTCCGCCTGCCGCCGGTGACGGTCGTAAACCGTCATATAGGTCCCAATCCCGGTGGCAATCAGCTGGCCTTCCTCTCCGTGAATTTCCATGTCGCCGACGATGATGCGGCCTCCGCGACTCTTGATGGAGCTGCGGGCGGTCAACTCGCCATCACCGGCCGGCGCGATGAAGTTCAGTTTCAATTCGATGGTGACGGCGTGCTCACCCTCCCCGAGGACGGAGCGGCAGGCGCGGAAGAACGCGTAGTCTGCCAACGCCACCAGGATGCCGCCCTGGACGACGCCGGCGCGTTGACGGTGTTTGTCCGCCACGGTCATGAACGCCGTGCCCACGCCATCGGCGGATATGCCGGGCCGTATGCCCAGCAGTTCGGCGAAGGGCCCGTCTTGGCCGGTCTCGTCTTGCCCGGTGATTGCTTCGGGATTGCTCATGGCAATCGTCTCCAATTCCAAACGTGGTCTAGCCGCATGAGTTGGTCGATCAGTCTGCCGGCAATTATAACGATCAGGGTCATTCGATTTTCCCCACTGTCATTTGTATGTTGCGGTCACCCCGCGAATGGGCCAATTTGTGGGGTAATGGGAGGGGCGCGTCGTCTGTCATTGGGTGAGCCGGGTCTACGGCCTGGACCGCACCGTCTCGCAGTAGGACACCCCTCCCGGAAGGCGCTGGTCTGCTCCGAACGGATACCCGGGTGTGTCGCCCCGCAATGCAAGTGTGGAGGGTCCCAGCGCCGCCATTATCACACCAGCACCAACGGAGGCGACGGAAAGATGAGCCGAGCAATGGCCGGGATAGACGTGGGCAAAGGGGAACTGGACGTGTCGGTGGACGGGGAACGGGCGCGACGATTTGCCAACACGCGGGCGGGGTTGGGGAGTTGCTGGACTGGTTGCAGCCCCGAGGCGAGGTGCTGGCGGTTTGTGAAGCGACGGGCGGTTACGAACGCCTGGTGGTGGCAGGGTTGCGCGAGGGTGGAGTGGCGGTGCCTGTCGCCCATCCCAACCGGGTGCGGGCCGATGCGCGGGCCGGTGGCTACGAGGCGAAGACCGACGGGTTGGACGCCGTGGTGCTGTCCCGGTATGGGGAGGCATTCCAACCGCCAGCGACGTTGGCCCAGGACGCGGATCGCATCCGGTTGCAGGACCTGCTGCGCCGGCGGGAGCAGTTGGTGGGTCAACGGACCCAGGAGAAGAACCGGCTGGCCCGGGTACACAACCCGGCAAGCCAGGACTCCATACGCCGGCACATCGCGTGGCTGGATGAGGAGATCGGGCTGCTGGATGAGCAATGCCAGGAACTGCTGAAGCAGAACGCGGAGTTTCAGCGCCAGGTTGAGTGGTATCGCAGCGTGCCGGGAGTGGGTATCCAGACCGCAGCGGCGGTGGTGGCCTGGTTGCCGGAGTTGGGCCAGTGCGAGAGCAATGTCCTGGCCGCGCTGTGCGGCGTCGCGCCGTGGTCACGGGACAGCGGTCAGCAGCGGGGATACCGGTCCACCCGTGGCGGACGTCGGCCGGTGCGTCGGGTGCGGTACGTGGCCAGCATGGTGGCAGCGCGCAACCACGACGAGTTGGGAGACTTCTACCGTCGGCTGCGTCAGCGGGGCAAGCCGGGCAAAGTGGCGCTGGTGGCGGTGATGCGGAAGCTGCTGTGGCTACTGAACGCCGTGGCCCGCCGCGGCACCCCGTGGACCCCCACAATTCCAACAACCAACCTGAACCCCGCTTGACACACAACACAGATACTGCGAGCGCAGCGCGGCAATCCCGTCGGCGTAGCATGGGCTCTTGCCGTAAGCGGTGGTTCTGGTCCTTAAACTGGCGCGTCGTATCGTTCCTGACGACAACAATCGAATGACCCCTTATAACGACGCCCGGCGGTGCAACCGCAGAGGCCACCGGATATACTGGTTGTCCAATGTTGTCAGGGCGAGAATATCGAACCGGAGCCCGAGGCAGCGGTGACTAAAGGGCTGCTGACCGCCCTGGGGGTGATGCTGGTGTGTACCATAATCCCCGTGGCGCAATTCCTGCTGGCTCCCTTCGGACCCTTTCTCGGGGCCTACTTTGGGATCCGGTCAGTGGACACTGAAGGTTCCGACCCGCTGGTCGCCGCAGCCAAATTCGGCGCGGCGGTGGGCGCCGTGTCGGGAATCATCCTGGTGGTGATCGCCTTGATTTTGACAGTGGTCCTGCCGATGCCGGGAAGGTTCGTGGCCCTGACGTGGATCGCGGTGGCCGTTTTCGCGACCTACGTGGCTGGGATGAGCACGTTGGGCGGGTTGTATCGACTGATGAAGACGCGAACGGTGCCGGTCGCGGCAGAGGCGAGTTAGCGGTGGACGGCGACGCGCTGCAAACCCTGCTGGAGAGCGTCCGGGATGGCAGCCTGACGGTGTCGCGGGCGATGGATGCCCTGCGTGATCTGCCCTACCAGGACCTGGGTTACGCCAGGCTGGACCACCACCGGCCCCTGCGGACGGGTTGGCCGGAGGTCGTACTGGCGGAAGGGAAGACCCGGGAACAGGTTGCCGGGATCGTGTTCGCGATGGCCGGAAGAGGCCATCCCGTGCTGGTCACGCGCGCCGCGCTCGAGGTTTACGAGGCCGTCGTCGCTGACGTTCCGACCGCGCGTTACAACGAGTTGGCGCGCTGCATCGTGGTACCGGAAATCGCGGTACCGGAAAGCGTGGTCCCGGAAGAGGGATCGAGAGGGCCGGCGGACCTGGGCCTGCTGATCGTCACCGGCGGTACCGCCGACCTGCCGGTGGCGGAAGAGGCCGCGCTGACGGCGGAGATCATGGGATGTCAGGCCGCCCGGCTTAACGACGTCGGCGTGGCGGGCCTGCATCGCCTGCTGGCCCAGCGGCAACGGCTGCAGGAAGCGCGGGTTATCATCGTGGTCGCGGGGATGGAGGCAGCGTTGGCGAGCGTGGTGTCGGGGTTGGTATCGGCGCCGGTGATCGCGGTGCCCACCAGCGTTGGATACGGGGCAAGTTTCCAGGGGTTGGCGGCGCTGCTGGGGATGCTGAACTCCTGCGCTCCGGGGATAGGCGTGGTGAACATCGACAACGGGTTCGGAGCCGGCTACCTAGCCGCGCAGATCTGCCGAATGCCCGAGGCGAGCGCGGATCCCGGTGCAGCGGTTGCTCGCGAGGGGACTGGGTTGAACGGGCGGAGATGGTTGCTGCTGGGACTGCTGACCGTAGCGGTATTCGGCGGCCTGTTGGCGTACGGGGATTTTCGGCAGGTTGGCAGGGTGCTGTTCGACTCTCCGGCTGCATACGCCGGATTCGCGGCGGCGGCGGGCCTGGCCGTGGTCAACTACGGGTTGCGTTACCTCCGATGGTCCATGTACCTGCACGCGCTCGGGATCAACGTACCGGCTTCGGTGAGCGCCCCGGTATTCGTGGCGGGGTTGGCCCTGTCGATCACGCCGGGCAAAGTCGGCGAACTGCTGAAGAGCGTGTGGCTCAACCAGCGGACGGGCGTACCCGTACCGGCGTCCGCGCCCGCGGTGGTGATGGAGCGGCTGACGGACGTTATCTCCGTCGCCCTACTGGGGACTGACCGGCGTGCTGCTGTTGCCCACGGCGATCGCGTTGACGGTTGGCGCCCTGCTGTTGATCGGGCTGGCTGTTGGGCTGCTGGCGGCGTCACGGTACGGAGCGAAGGCGCTGGAGTTGCCGGCGCTGCGGCGATGGCGCGAACCGCTGGCGCAGTCGCAGGACGGGCTGCGTCGCCTGATGTCGCCCCGGCTGCTGGCGGCGGCGGTGGCGTTGGGCTTCCTGGCGTGGGCGGCCGAGGGTTTGGCGCTATGGGTAATCATCGTCGGGTTGGGTGACTCGGTGGCCCTTGGTGTCGCGCTCCCGGTATCAGCGGTGGCGGCCTTAGTGGGCGCGGTTACCGCGCTGCCGGGCGGGCTGATTGGATTTGAGGGCAGCATGGTGGCGCTCCTGGGACAGGCCGGCCTGCCGGCGGCGACGGCGGCGTTGGCGACCCTGCTGACCCGGTTGGCCACCCTGTGGCTGGCGGTGATCGTTGGCGGGTTGGCCTGGCTGTGGCTGGTCCGCACCGGGAGGAGCAGTGCAACCGCAGTGGCGACCGACGCGGGGGCATCCGGTCAGCCATGAGCCGGCTGGCAGGGTTGTTAACGACGGCCCGTCCGCTGCAGTGGGTGAAGAACCTGCTGGTGTTCCTGCCGCTGCTGTTCGCGGTGGACTTGGTCTGGGAACCCGGAAATCTCGCGACGCTGCTGCCCTACATCCCGAGGCTAGCCGGGCTGTTCGCCGCGTTCTGCGCCCTGTCGTCGGCGATCTATATTCTGAACGACCTGGCTGACCGGGAGGCGGATGGCCGGCACCCCACCAAACGGGCGCGGCCCATCGCTTCGGGACTGCTGCCGGGGTGGCTGGCAATCTCTACGATGACGACCCTCGCGGCCGCCGGAATGTTGGCGCTATACGCTATAACGGCGCCGGCGTTGGAACTGCCCCTCATCGGCGGCATATATCTCCTGGCCAACGTTGGCTACTCGTTGCGGCTGAAGCGAGTGGCCTTGGTGGACGTCATGATAGTGGCCGGCGGCTACGTGTTGCGGGCGGTCGCCGGAGCGGTGGCGGTGGGAGCCGCGCCCTCGCCGTGGCTCTACGCGGTCACCGCGGCGGGCGCGCTGTTCATCGTGATCGGGCGGCGGTACGCCGAGGCGAGGCTGGCGGGTGAGGACCCGGAGGCGCAGCGGGCGACGCTCTCGCATTACGCTCCGCCGTTGGGCGGGCAGCTGCTGATCCTGTCGGCCACGGCGGCGCTGGTTAGCTACGCGCTGTACGCGGTGGAAGCGGACAACCTGCCCGAAAACAACACGATGCTGCTCACCGTTCCCCTGGTGATATTCGGCCTGTTCCGGTACCTATACCTGCTGAACCACAGCCGGGATGCCGAGTCGCCGGAACTGCTGATGCTGAAAGACGTGCCGCTGCTGCTGGCGATAGGAGCCTGGATGGTGGTGGCCGGAGCGGTGCTGGTTCTGAATTGACCGCGGGAATGGTGAGGCGTTACAATACACCTAGGTATTACAAGTTAGTTAGTCGTAATTGGCGGGTTTTATGAACTGGAGAGATCACATCGAAACCAATGACAAGGTGCTGGCAGGGCGGCCTACAATCAAAGGGACCCGATTGTCCGTGCCGTTCATCTTGGAATTGATGGGAGCAGGTTCCAGCGAGGCAGCTATTCTAGCTAGCTACCCGCAGCTGACGGCCGCCGACATCAGGGCGTGTCTGCGCTGCGCTCGTGCGAACCTCGAGCCGAAAAACACGTCGTCGATCGACGACTGGATATTGGGATACGAAAATGAACAACAACACGTTGATTTATAGGAGATGAAATTGAATAACAAAATTTTGGTTGATGAGAACATGCCGGAGACTGTCGTCTCATTATTACGAAACGCTGGTTACGACGTAGTTTCTGTTTCTGATGTTGCACCTCGTAGTCAAGATGATGCGGTACTGGCGCGGGCGGTTACAGAAAGTAGGATTTTGCTGACCTTCGACAAAAGTGATTTTGGAGCGTTGATTTATGACCGTGAGTTACCGGCACCGCCAGCGGTAGTACTGTTTCGTATTCCTGATTTTCCTACTGAGAAACGTCCTCAGTTCGTTGTTGATACCATGGTCGGGCGGTCAGAATGGTCTGGCTGCTTCTGGGTGATCGAGCAGCAACGGATCCGCTCACGGCCTTTGCCCGGGAGTACGACGCCAAAGGCGCCTTGATCCAGCCGGGCCCAACTCCCAAGTATGCGAGGGCGGACTGGGAAGGTTGCGCATGGGCACTTCCGTCGCTATCCTTACCGGCGGTTGGCTTGCCGAGCCGACACGGCTTATTTTCCGCATCGGAGATTGACGAGATGACACAGGCTGCTCCTCAGATACCGCTGCCGGCGCCGCAGCCGGAATCCGATTTCTATTGGGAGAAGTGCAAGGCCGGCGAGCTTTGGCTGCGCCACTGCACGACGTGCGACCGGGCCTACTTCTACCCCCGCGACATTTGCCCTTTCCCCGAGTGCTTCTCCCGGGATACGGACTGGATCCAGAGCGCCGGGCGCGGCACTCTCCACACCTTCGCCATCGTGCATCGGGGACCCACGCCGGCGTTCCGCGACAAGGTGCCATACATTGCGGCGGTGGTGGAGCTGGAAGAAGGGCCGCGAATACCTTCGTGGCTGGTCGGAATCGACTTCGGTGAAGGGGAAATCCGGCCGGACGCCGTGCAATGCGGCATGGCGGTGGCCGTCGAGTTTGAGGAAATTGACGACAACATCAGCCTGCCGATGTTCCGGCCGGCCTAGCGCCCGAGCCGCTGCAAACCGGCGGCACCCTGCGCGAAAATCCGTAACCACAGACACCCGTAACCACAGACAAAGGAGGCGTTATGACGCAGCCCGCAGCCCGAACCGTAATGCAAGAAGTATCGCCCAAGCTGGCCGAGCTGTCCGCCGACGTGCTGTTCGGGGACGTTTGGGAGCGACCGGAGCTGTCCAAGCGGGACCGCAGCCTGATCACCGTTGCCACGCTGACCGCGCTTTACCGCACGGACCAACTGCGCGGCCACATCGGCCGTGCCCTGGACAACGGCGTGACCCGCGACGAGATCTCCGAGGTGATCACGCACATGGCGTTTTACGCCGGCTGGCCGGTGGCGGCCAACGCGGTGCGAATTGCCAAGGAAGTTTTTGAAGAACGCGGCGTCTAGCCGAACCCATCAGAGTAGTTCCTTGAGCCGTCATTCCAGCGCAAGCCGGAATGACGGTCACTGTTAATACGGGAGGCCCATAGATGCCCACTATGACCGGCGCGCGCTTCCTCGCCGAGACCCTGCGCGAGTACGGCGTAACCCACGTTTTTTTCGTTCCGGCCATCATCCGCCGCGCCCTCGTGGAAATGGAGGACGTTGGAATCCAGCGGATCATCAGCCACGGTGAAAAATCGGCGGCGTACATGGCGGACGCCTACGCCCGGGTAACCGGCAAGCCGGGCTTTTGTTTTGCCCAGTCGGTGGGTGCGGCCAACCTGGCGGCCGGACTCCAGGATCCCTACCTGGGAGTGTCGCCTGTCATCGCGATCACGGGCCATCGCCCGCCGATGCACCGGCACCGGAACTCGTACCAGGAAATCGAGCACTCGCGACCCTTCGCGTCCGTCACCAAGTACAGCGCGGAAGTGGAAACGGTGGAACAGCTGCCGCACCTGCTGCGCCAGGCGTTCCGCGAGGTGACCACCGGGCAGACGCTGCCGGCGCACCTGGATTTCTCCGGTATCTCCGGCGATGTGATCACCGACGGCATCCTCGACACGGACGTGATCGTGGAGGAACCCTTCACCCAGCGGCCGGCGTTCCGGCCGGGTCCGGAACCGGAGCGCGTGCGCGAGGCCGCGCGCCTACTGTCGCAGGCCGAGCGGCCGGTGATCGTGGCCGGCGGCGGCGTCACCGCCTCGGGCGCGGAGGCCGAGGTCGTGCGGTTGGCGGAGATGTTGAACATCCCGGTGGCCACCGCCCTCAACGCCAAAGGCTGCATACCCGAGAACCACCCGCTGTCCGTGGGCGTGGTTGGCAGCTACTCGCGTTGGTCCGCGAACCGCGTGGTGTCCGAGGCGGATTTGGTGCTGTTCATCGGCAGCCACACCGGTAGCCAGGTGACGCTGGACTGGCGCATCCCTGCGGAGGGAACGCCCGTGATCCAGATCGACATCGACGCCAGCGAACTGGGCCGGTCGTATCCCGCCGCATACGGGTTGCAGGGCGACGCCAGGCGAACGCTGGAAGCCATGCTTGACGTGCTGGAACCCACGGGCGGCAACGCGAGCTGGGTGTCCCGGGCGCAGGAGCACGTGCAGAACTGGCGGGATGAGCACGAGCCGGTGCTTACGTCCAACGCGGTGCCCATTCGGCCCGAGCGGTTGTGCCAGGAGCTGACGGACTTTTTGCCCTCGGACGCCGTGCTGGTGGCAGACACCGGACACGCGGGCATCTGGACCGGCAGCATGGTTGACCTGACGCACGAGGGCCAATCCTACCTGCGAGCGGCCGGTTCGCTGGGATGGGGACTGCCGGCGGCGCTGGGCGCCAAGTGCGGCGCGCCCGACCGGCCGGTGGTCTGCTGGACCGGCGACGGCGGCATGTGGTACCACATCGGCGAGCTGGAAACCGCCGTGCGCTACGGCATCAACGCCGTTACCGTGGTGCACAACAACGGCGGGCTGAACCAGGACCGCCGGGGAGACGAGGCAGCCTACGAAGGGCGCGAGGGCGGCAATCCCGGGGAGCTCTGGCGGTTCACCGATACCAACTTCGCCCAGATCGCCGAGTCCATGGGCGCCCTGGGCATCCGCGTGACCGATCCCAACCAGATCAACTCCGCGCTGGACCAAGCCGTGAGCGCGAACCGTCCGGCGGTGGTGGACATCGTCAGCGACGGAGACGTGGCGGCGGCGGCGCCATGGGGGCCGTAGCGCAGTTGGATTGAACGAGTTCCCGTGGCCAATCAAATATACGGGCGAGCAAATTGGCGGTTTATCGATGGGTCAATGTCGGTCAGTATCAGTATGTGGGTTGCGATTGCGCTCAATCAGTGTGCAATCTGTACCGGGTGGCCGGCGCTGGGCTTGCTGTCCGGTCTGGCCGCCCATCAAGCCGGCATTATAATAGTAGCCACCGCGCTCCTGTTTCCCACGACCGCGCTGTTGTACGGAGGTATCACAATGTTCTTCGCAGCCAAAGAAACCGTTGAGCGATGGGCTGCGGCCAAAGACGCCAAGGCAGAAGCCCGAGGCAGGGAGCAAGGCGTGCAGGTAGGCAGGGATGCAGAACGGCAGCGCATAGCCGAATTATTGGAGCAGAACGGCGTATCGCTGCCCCCGGAAGTTGCCGAGGGTCTGAACGCTAACGCCAGATAAAGCATCCAGCGCTATTTTACGGAGCCGTCCGATTGCTCCAAAAACGCCGCCGCTGCCGCATAATTTCTAGCTCCGCTGCGCCGAATGGGCGGTACCAGGTAGCAGTCGCGAGCGCCGGCGGCCTTCAATCCCTCCCAGGTTTCCAAGGCAATGTCCACGCCGGATCGGCCGGCCGCCAAATCACCGGTGACTTGATCCGGCACGGTCGCGAACGAGACGCCGTCCTGCTCCAGCAGCCCCACGCCGTAAAAAATGGGCACGGACGGCAGGGTCCCGGCGGCACGCGCGTAGGCATCCGCGAAGCGCCCGATCTCAGCGCGGTCAAACACCGGCTGCGTAATCAGGAAATGCGCGCCGGCATCCACCTTGCGCGCGGCCAGCTTGGCTTCTGATGCCGTGCTACGACCCAAATCGACGGTCGCCCCGATGCAGAAATCGGTGGGCGCTCGCAGGCTGCTGCCGCGGTGGTCCGTGCCCGTGTTCATATCGGTGATGGCGGCGATGAGCTCGCTGGGCCGGTAGTCGTTGACGGCAGCAGCAGTATCTCGCGGACCGAAACTATCCCCCGCGACCACGATGACGTTCTCCAATCCAAGCGCCTGGGCGCCGAGCAGTAACGATTCCAGTGCCAGGCGGTTCATGTCCCGCGTGGCCAGCGTGAAAATCGGCTCGGCGTCATACCGGTCGCGCAGCACTACGGCCGCGGCGACCGGGTTCATCCTGACCGCGCGACCCGGGTTGTATGCCGCCGAAATAAAATCCGCCGATCCGGGCGGCGCCGGCGCGTCGGCCGGCCGGCCGGAACGAGGCGGCGAATAGTCGCAGATGAACGCCGGGCGGCCGGTAACCACGCTGGCCCGGTCAACAACCTTGCTCATGGTTCGGGCCGGGCATCCATGCCGGTTGAGGAATGCCGGCCCCGCCGCTAGGCGTTCAGGTCCCCGAGATACTCGCGGAAACGGGAAATGGCCTGCTGCTCGGACCGGCCGACGTAGTAGCGGATGCCCTGGATGTATTCCACCACGTCCCGGGGCAGCATGAGCAGTTCATCGCGCGGCTCGTTCAGGTGATACAGGCCGTCAACGCCCTCTTCAAGCCCGACGTACAGGGTGTCCTCCAACGTGGCCTTTTCACGGTCCTCGAGATCCTTGCGCATCACCCACTGGCTGAACACGAAGGGCAGGTTGGTCCACTGGGTCCATTCTGTCCCCAGGTCGAAACGGTGGGCGAAGCCGCGGACCCCGCGACGGCGCCGGAGGGCACGGTTTCCGATGAGGACGAAGGCGTCGAAGCTCTCGTCGGGGCGGACGACGTCGCCGGGTCGGGCGGCGAACTCGCCCGGCTCCAGGTTGTACTTGCGGCGGAGCAGTATCTCGAGCAGCTTGGACGCGGTGACATCCTCGTCGGACACGCCGATGGTGACGCCGCCGAGCTCTTCCATCGGATATTGAGAGTACAGACAGACGCTAACGGCGCGGCTCAGGGCGGAGAAGCAGAACCCGCCGACGGGCTCGAAGCGATCTTCCAGGCGAAACACGTCGGGAAGGTGCGCCGGTCCGGCGTCGAGTTCGCCGCTGGCAAGGGCGTCGCCCAACTGGCGAGGCGTGGTTTCGCGCAGTTCTATGCCGCGACGCTCCATGTCGAAATAGAAGGGTTCGGCTTCCAGGTACGGCACGCGGCCGACTCTAATGGGCATCTTCTAGCCACCGTGAATGTCGGGGATAGTCCGCAGCGACCAGCTTCGCAACGTTGCAAATAGCCAGTCCGCAGGACGCTAGGATTGTAGGACGGCCTGAGGTAAGGGTCAAGGAACGGCCGCACCTCACGCGTGCCCGCTTGCGTTCAAACTGTCATCGCGAGCGCAGCGTGGCAATCTCGTCGCCACAGCGCAGGTTCTCGCCACGAGCGGTCGGATCGCTTCGTTGCTGCCGCGCCCTTTCATTCCCGACGGCGATAGTCGAATGACCCTAGTGTGATGTAACTGAAGTTAGTAGTAATAGTATCAGCGATGAGGTATCCTCCGGGTGAGCAGTCCCGAGGGAGGATAACCATGGCCATCGGACGACCAATGCCACCGCTGATTTTGCACGACATGGAGCGGGAAACTCTGGAGCGGTGGGTGCGACGACCGAAGACGGCGCAAGCCCTGGCGCTGCGGGCCAGAATGATACTGGCCTGCTCCGAAGGCCGGAGCAACACCGCCGTGGGCGCCGATCTGGGGGTGTCCGACGCAACGGTGGGCAAATGGCGTTCGCGTTTTCTGGAACAGCGGCTGGATGGACTGACGGACGAGCCCCGCAGCGGTCGGCCCCGAGCGGTTACCGATGATGATGTGGAACGGGTGATTACGCTGACGTTGGAGACCACACCTAAAGACGCCACCCACTGGAGCACTCGGTCCATGGCGCAGCGGTCCGGCCTGAGCCACAACACCATCAGCCGCATCTGGCGTGCCTTCGGACTGCAACCCCACCGCACCGAGACGTTCAAGCTGTCGGCGGACCCCTTCTTCATCGAGAAGGTGCGGGACATCGTGGGGCTTTATCTGGACCCGCCGGATCGGGCGTTGGTGTTGTGCGTGGACGAGAAGTCCCAGATTCAGGCCTTGGACCGGACCAGGCCGCTGTTACCCATGCGCCCCGGACCGGCGGAACGGCGCGCCCATGATTACCTGCGCCACGGCACCACGTCGTTGTTCGCCGCGCTGGATGCCAAAACCGGTAAGGTGATCGGCCAATGCCACCGACGCCACCGGGCCGTGGAGTTCCGCAAGTTCCTCGATACCATTGAGGCCGAAGTGCCCCTTGACCTGGACGTCCATCTCATCGTGGACAACTACGCCACCCACAAGACGGCGCTGATCCGGAACTGGTTAGCCAAGCGGCCACGGTTCCACCTGCACTTCACGCCGACCAGCGCATCCTGGCTGAACCTGGTGGAGCGGTGGTTCGGGATGCTGACCGAGAAGCAGCTACGGCGAGGGGTGCATCAGAGCAGCGGGGCACTGGAAGCCGCCATCTACCGCTATCTTGACCTTACCAACGAAAACCCCAAGCCCTTTATCTGGACCAAGACCGCCGACCAGATCCTGGCCAAGGTCGCCAGTTTTTGCAGGCGTACTTTAGATACATGACACTAGGGGGTGTCGTCAAAATGGCGGTAGGGTGGTAAATTTCTGTAAAAGGGGAGAGTGTGGAAGGTGGGGGAATGACGGCAGCGCACCGGCGCCACGATATGACCGATGCCGTTTGGGAACGGTTGAGGCCGCATTTGCCTGGGGGAGAGGGCAAGAGAGGCCGACCGGCCCCGGACAACCGGCAGTTTATCGACGCCGTGTGCTGGATTCTGCGCACCGGCGCTCCTTGGCGCGATTTGCCCCCGGACTACGGAGACTGGAAGAACACCCACCGCCGCTTCTGCCGCTGGCGGGATCGGGGCGTGTGGGCCGGACTGTTGGAGGCGGTGATGGATGGCCCTGATTTCGAGTGGCTGATGATAGACGCCAGCTATATCAAGGCCCATCCCCACAGCGCTGGCGCCCCGGGCGGAAATCAGTCCATTGCCCGCACTAAAGGGGGCGGAACCGCAAGCTGCACCTGGCGGTGGGTTCCCACGGAATGCCGGTAAGGCTGGCGGTGACCGAGGGTACGGTTGCCGACTGCTCCCAGGCTTTGCCTCTGATTGAGGGCATAGCAGCGGAGTGCCTGCTGGCGGACAAAGCCGATGACACCAATGAAATCATCGCCACCGTCCGGGGATTGGGAATGGACCCAGTGATACCGCCCAAAAGCAACCGTAGAGAAAAGCGGGACTATGACCGGGAGCGGTACAAGCTGCGGCACCTGGTGGAGAACGGATTCCTGGAATTCAAGCAGTGGCGCGGGGTGGCGACCCGTTATGCCAAGAGAACGGCGTCTTATTTGGCCATCTGCCAACTCCGGGCAGTGATGGTCTGGAGCAAACTCTTTTGACGACACCCCCTAGGCCGTTGAACAGAATCTTTGTTTTGTGCGCCCTGGGCAGATAGTCCTTGATGAAGTTGTAAAGAGCGGCGAACTTGATCTCGGCCTGTAGCGCGTTGATCCTGGAATAGGGGTACTTATCCTCGTAATCGCTGCCGCTGTCGCCCATTTTGAGCGACATCCCACCCCGCTCCAGAGGGCGCAGGTCGTCTTCGTCCCCGTCGTACTTGGGATCGTAAATGTCGCTTGCGCGTTCGCGCTCTGCGGATACCACGATAGAGCTCCGGTTTCTGGGCTAGTCGTCGGATAAGAAGGTCAGGCCTAACTTGGCATAAATGGCGCGTTTCAGGCCCCCCGTCTTCCAGCCGTTGGTCCCCTTCACCTGGTCGACGTCGCCAAATACGCCGTCCATGAGTTCGCCGGTCTAGCGGGAATCTAGCGCCACGTTCAGCGCTATGGCCGCGGTCTTCAGATTGGCGGGGCATTCGGGCTCGGAAAGCTTGGAATACCGCCATCCGACGACCTTCCGGTGCTCGTCGGTGAGCCCCGAGAACGCGCCGTTTCGCGGGCCTGTTCCATCGCCGCCTTGCCGGCGTAGCGCTGGGCATGGGCCGTGTAGACGGGCCGGAATGAGTCGGTACACATATAGGCCATGCGGACCGTTTCGCCGGCCACGCCCTGCATATCGTCGGGCGGGCCCAGCCCGTCGTTGTGCTTGCGGGCGCCCTTGCCGTCAACGATGTCAACGCCGCGAAACGGGAAGTCTTCCCACGACTCCCAGGCCAGCACAAAGTTTCGGGGGTCGGAGTGGTTCGGATAGTCCAGCTTGAAACCGTGATCCTGCTGGGCAACCTGGACCTGGAACGGGCGCCGCACTTCCGACGTCATTTCCCGGATGGTCCGCACGATCATGCGGGCCATCGCGGACATCAACAGGAGCTTGCAGCCCTTCTTTCTGAGGCCGGCGCACAGGATGGCAAAGCCGCGGACCCCGGTGGACATGGCCATGCCCGACTCAAGGCTGGTGTGGGCTTCGTCAAACCCGATTACCGAGTACATCGGCACGTTGGCGACGATCTCATAAATGTCGGAACCTTCGACCACGCGGCCGAAGTTGAAGCCGCCGTTATGAAAGAAGGTATGGCCGCGCTGGAACCAGTAAAGGGCTTCCTCGCAGGCGCTGACGCTCTTGGACGCGCCCATATCGTCCACCCACATGATCTGAGCGAAGTCAAAGCCGGAGCCGAGCGTGCGTCACCGGTGCCGGGCTTGGCGAAACAGCCGCATGATCTGGACGTGGGCCCGGGCGCGTTGCCGGAAGGTGAACCGGTCCCGTTCATCGCCGGCGGACATGGCCACGTCCCGAATGTCAATCCAGCGTCCGGGCCATTGGTTTTCGGGGGGGTCGGTGCC